AGTGCAATGCAACATTACTGGGAGTTTTCCAAGAAACAAAGTCTTACAGGACCAAGTGCTATTAAAATAAGACTTCAGTGGCAAAACAAATTTGAGAATCACGGACAGTAAAGTTAAAGTGGTTTCTTTACTGCAGGGGTCTTCAAAACCCTTCATGTGGTATGCCTTTTACAGCAACATGGATCGAGCTGGAAGGGGTCATGTTTAGTGAAATAAGCCAGAAAGAAAAGGAAAAATACTGGATGGTTTCACTCATAGCAGGAGCATAAAGGACCAGGGGAGAAAATAATAATGAACAACCATATACCGGAGACATTTTACAGGAGGTGGAGTGGGGAATGGGATCAAAAATGGAAGGGGGGGGGTAGTGCACTGGACTATGGTGATGGCACATGGGTCATTTGGTGATAGAAAGTTTACGGGAATTACAACTGAGATGGAAAAGGGCACAAAATGATGTAAAAATAAACTATCATTAAAAAAATAAATTCCTAGGGTGTTAAAAAAAAACAAAACTCTTTCATGTGGTAATATGCTTTGAGTCTTTGCCACAGAGACAATTTCCCAAACTTACTCTTGGTTTCTTTTTGAGTAGAGTACCTTGTGAAACTTGAGTTCTTCAATTCTTCCTTCAGGAAGTCAACATTCCTCTATTTCTATAAATGATACTTACTTGCTCAAATTAAAAGGGGGTATGGTACAAGGGCTTTTAAAAAATTTTAGCTGCAAATTGATGCAAATGGTTTATTCAGTTATCTAATAATCCTCTGCTAATATCTGTGGCAAGGACTAGAAGTACTAGTAAATGGGAAGCACAAGACAGTCAAGTTTTTTGACATAAAGGAAAGAACTTACCTACCCTATCTTTGATTGCCGAGCTAAACATTGCTTGAAACACTGAAGACTGATGAGTCACAGGAAATCATCTTTGCTGTCATGACAAAATATATTCAGGCAAGTGAGACAACACTTATGCTTTCAAACATACTGAAGTTCTATAACTCATATCTAAATGGCCAGTCCCAAGTACCTACATCTGTAGTACCTGCAAGGTTTTCCTACGGGTAAATTGTTTCTGTGGGTTAATTTTGTGAACTATCTGCCCCAAAATACTTGCCTACATTTTGGGGCTCATTTGTTCTCTCAGGTTAAGTTTCCAGGCTAATTTGGTACAAGTTTAAATAATGATTAAGACTGCAGTATTTCTAGCTTGAATTCGGTGTGTCCACTGGATGTGTAATATTCTCATGTATATGGACTATAAACTCTAATCAAAATAGAGTGTGGTTATCCTCACAATGCCTGCCTTTCGATCCTTAGAAGTAACTGATAAAGGTGATAAAAGTTTGCGTCTGTTCATATTTAACAGATTCTTTTAAAAACATCAGCTAGATTTTTGTCCTTTATTGACAAGTCTCAAGTCATGTGAGCTTATTAAATGATTTGTTAATATTAAAGTCAGTTAAGCAAAACTAGCTACCATACACATGCTTTAAGATTTTAGCCTGAAATGAAAATCAGATCATTTATTTGTAAGTAACAACAAGTGACCACTGTAGACACTTGAAATCATTTATTCAAGGCATTTTTATACAATCTTGCGATCATAGTACAAGCATATAATAAAAGAATGTTAGAGTGTAAAGAAAAATACAAAGCCAGTGTCTGGGCATTTAAAATAAGAGCTCTCCAAAAAGTTACAAATATTTTATTAATAGGATTCTTAAAAATTTTGAGAGAAACTAAAACTTTCTTAAAAACGGTACAGTACCAAATGACATTTCACTTAGTTTGTAGCAAGGAGTTATATATTAATTAAATGTTTATATCTTGTGAGCTGAGACAACATGTTTTACATTCAAGTTGAAATAATTCATCACTATTTTGGCTTGAAGGATAAATGAAATGCTTTAAAAGTTTCCAGAAATGGCCATGACTTTGGTAAAAATGATGGAATATATTGATGGACTATATCGTTTATGAATATGAGTTCTAATTATAAATATAGAAAAAAGGTAATTTTACTTTTTCTTTACTGTTCTGTATCAAAACAAACTTCAAACAACACATCTTCTGACTGAAAAGTTGCTTTTTCACACATTTTGTTAATGGTATATATTCTTAGTACCACAATTTTTGTTAAACTCTCATTTCCTCTAGATCCTGAATATCGAGAATGTTTGACTTTGATTATCTTATGAAGTTTCAAAGAGAAGAAAAAAATTGATGTCCATTATTACAAATACTGCCTAGTGAAAATTTGATGATAACATGTAGGAGTAAAATGTGTAAGTTATAGATTTCCTGGAAACAGGGAAATTGTGGATTCTTATGTTCTATAGTACTGTTGGGTAGCTGAATCAATCCTAGCCTCAAAGGCCAAAGCATCTAATTTCAGATCATGGTCTGAAATTCTGAGGTCACTAATAAAACATATGGCAGTCTCTCTAAATTATTTTCCTATTTAGCCCATGTTTTCATAGCCCTCATTAGTTTTAAAAGCTAGTTTCTTTTCAGTACTCAACATTCTTTGTATCATTTGTACTTCCAATTAAAAAAAGGATTTACAGTTTGGTAAGACTAGATTATGTTTTTCTTTTATTAATGGATTACTTCTATGAGGTAATCACTGACTTTTGGTCATTATTTCAGGGAGCAGGTAACTTGAGGTTCAGAAATACTGAGTGTTAAATTAGTATTTGTGAATTATATGGGGATACTTAGGGAATTTTTGGAGAGGAATATTTATGTAAAGAATAAGAAACTTATTTAGTTCTAATTCATACTTTTTTTTTCAAAGTCAACCAATAGTACATGTTGTATTTAAAAGGCAGACATTTTAGTGATTGGAAATATATTTTTAATTATTAGTAACATATACATGCAAATAACTGTTGCTTTATACTTATTTTTTTAAATAAAATATGGTCCTTATAAACAATAGAACTTAAAATAGAAATATTTTAGACCTATACGTACAGTTGTTAAAAATGAAATGAGGTGAACCTAATGGGTAGTAATGACATTTTTAATATATCTCAATACTTATTGAAGACAGTGTTTTTAATATCCCAATGCCTAGCATGAGTACTTATTATATATTAGGCCCTTAAATGGTAATGGTTGGACAGACAGATGAAAGGCCCAAAGAATTATAATTATGTCTTTGTCATGTGGATCCAAAGGCCATGATACAGGGTAGTTTTTATTATAGGGGTAAAATCATAATGAAACAATAAATCTTAAATCTACAGATGCCAGTCTGGCTCAGTATTAATACTGACAGTAGTTTTTGTTGTTCAGAAAAGCAAGTATATTAAAATGTCTTGTTAGATTGCAATTTGAAAGGCTCATACATACAGACTCAAAACTAAAGAGCAAAGGAAGCTAAGAGGTACATCAAAGAAGCTATTCCATAGCTCAGATACGAGTTCAGTGAAAGTTCTGGGTCTCTGTCAAGCTTTCTGCATTCTCTGTTGGTGAGCTTGTGCCCTGGCCAGTGTGGAGCATATCACTTGTCCTGTCTGCCCCTCTATGACTGTCTCAAGTCCCTTTTGCCTTGCTAGGCACCAGGAGTGCAGAGTGGCTAGTAGTAATTGGTGTTGGCTTTACAACTCTGCGGGATGCCAAACCTGTCCTGGCCCTGGAAATGCCTTGCCCGAGATTTTAATAATTACTAGTGTAAGAAAACTTCTGCTTAAGCACCACTCAAAGTGTCATTTGACTTCTTTCTGCACCTTTTGAATTTAGGAAAAGAAATCCTCCAAATTCTGTTGTGGCACCTCGTTTCACAGTTTAAAATGAAATCACAGCTGTCTCAGTATGCAGCACAGTCCTGGGTTTGGCAGAAAGTATCTTCCCCCTATTCACCAACCCCTCAAGTTTGTAGTGTATATGCTTTGATAATTTAGATTATCTATCAGACACAGAAAACATGTATGACTGATTCCTGGCTGACCTTTTAGTGTACCTGTATCTACATCTATAATGTCATCTATTCTGATAAAAAATAATGTTTTAGTATTCCTCTTTTTCAAAGCTGAACATAAAAATAATGTAGAAAAGTTGAAAATCCTATTATGTTTTTCATCACTTAAAGTATTTGAGAGACAGTTGTGGTTTGGGGAACTTGTTCATATGATTTTTATGTCAGCAGGGGCATTTCCTTGGCTAATACCTCAGTATACTTAAATGCATAATATCTCTGGATATATTTCACATCTGTCATCAGGATGACTTCCCACTGACATAGTCTTCTGATGTACACTAGTCCCTGGAATATTAATTTTAAGAATTGCACTTAAAAAGTCTCTGCCCAGGAAAATAGAGTAGGGGAGCATCCACAAATGTTGATTAGATAGGAATTGGGCAGCCCAATTACTTAATCCATTCCACAACAAAGCTGACATAAGTCAGAATTAAATTGTACACTTGACAGAAAGAAAGGAGTTTATCTACTAATTTAAAGATGTAAACATAAATTTTATATAGGGATGTAACTATCTGAATACATATATCACCACATCTCTGCTATAAAGTAATATTTCTTGACGCCAATGGTAATGTGTGTTCCTTCCTCAGCACCAAATGTGTCTGTATCTATTTAAACAGTAGGAGCCTCATTTTAAAATGAATCTGTGCTAGGAGACATAGAAGCCATCATTGTTAATGGTTCACTAAAGTTTCAGCACTTTCGGAAATTCTCAGTTCTTAGTAATTTTGGCTCATTGAAATACTATTTTTTCATGCTTTGTAATTTCAAAGAAACAAAAAAAAATCTAATTTTTTTTGAAAGAGCCAAATGTGTAACATGCAGAATTGAAACAGCATATTAATTCATAAAGTAATGTGAATAAAATTTAAAATTTCTCAAATAATGCCGATTTAAATACTCAAAATCCAGTTATGTATTTTGTTACAAAAACAGTCCAAACCAAAATTCCTTCATTTTCTCTTTCAAAATACATAAATCCTACTGAAGTTAATCAATTTTTTTTTTCCCCACTTCAGAACACCAGGCACTGATTTATCCATTGGGAGTTTTGGCTTGCTTCCTAATACCTAAATTAAGAAAACAAAAATAGACACGTTATTGAGTTGGCAATATTATGATGACTACAGTACACAGGTAAATAGCCCACCTTTTTTTTTTTTTTTTAATTAATTAACAATTTCCCTCTACCTAACCAACAGTCACTGTGCGGATTTGTTCAGTAACAACTTAAAGAAAATAACGATTTCAATAGTAGAGGTAGTATATCTGGTGCCTACCAATTTGATGTTTATGAAAGAAACGCCTTCTGAACCAACCAAGAGAAAAAGCAAGGACCAGCCATATGCCAGGTGCGTTCACGGCATAGAGCTAGTGTGGCATTTCCATGAAGAAGCAGAGGGATCACCTCTGTTCTCTTGCAGCAGCGTTACAGGTATAGAATGGTGCACTAAGGGCCAATCTGGGTCAAAGCCGAAAAATCAATACCATTTTTACATGGTGATCACAGATCCCCATATAAAGGAAATAAGGAAGTACTTAGTCCAAATAATTAACCCTCATTTTCCTAATAGTCATTTCAGTGAGAACCTAGTTGTAGAATAAATACTTCTGGGCACACAGTCTCATGGTCCATACGAATTCTTACAGTGAAGAAAATGAAGGAGAAAGGAGACACCAAAGGCTTGTTCTTAGCAGTTTGTACATTCAGGGAATGCTTTCAAATACTTGATTGGCATTAACAAGAAGCCATGCACTGAGAAATGTCCTTCAGAGTTATAAAAATGCAGTCATATTATCTAGGACCCTGCACAGTAACTCAACTGATACATGACTCAAGCAAGTTACACTTCCTGTTCAAGGAACCTCAAAGATGCTCCATCGCCTGCAGAATCAACTTCAAAGTGTTAGCTCTTTCTTCAGTGCGATCTTGGGTCTGGTTCCAACTTATTTTTCCAGGCTTTTCTGCCCAACTTAACTCCATGAAATGTATGCTTCAGCCAAACTAGGAGGCATTTTTCCAAACATGCCCTGCACTTTCTTCCTGCTATGTAGTTGCCTACGATGTTTACTCATTCCATCATGTTCCCCACTTAACTCTGCCCAGTGCAGTCCTCAGCCTCCCAGGCCCAGTTGGATGCTGTCGTAAAGCCATGCCTAATGTCACAGAGGAAATCTCTCCTTCCTCTGAACTCTGATTCCTAGCGAGAGGTCAAAAAGAAATGTCAAAATGTAAGAGACAAGCACCACTCTCTTGGTGAGAGGCTCTTTCTCAAGCCAAGCATTTTGTACTTCACCTACCCCCCACTCATAGTTGAGTATAATCTAATTTAATATGAGCCACTAATTATGGGTCATTTCACTTTTTCATGTGTCCATCTGATCTACTGCTTATTAATTTCCCACCTCTATCACAGTTTAGTTGCTGTCAGCGATATCTGGTTTAAACAAAAGCCCTCTATGCTTGAGTTATATGATAACTTGTATTTGTTTTAAATATCTGGTGATACTCAATTGATTCTATTAATGAAAAGCAAGTCACATTCTGTGCAACAAGTCACCACTCCAGACCTATTCCTAGTGGTTGGTCAGTAGTTGTACCTGTGATACCCCTTACTTCTCACAGCAGAGGCTGCTGTGTTCCACTGCATTTAGTGTTATTCTTCATGGACTTTTCTATTGTGTGTCTATCACATTCCCTGGTGTATGCCTCTCGCCCCCTTGATTCCAAATTCTAAGTTCCTTGTAAAAGGGTATTTTCTTTATTCATCAAATGTTGAATGAGAAGCTATATGGTGGCAACCTGTATTGGCAGTGCACATACAGTGGCAGACAAGAGACTAGGTCCCAGCCAGAATGAAGGAAAACATCAAACAACGAGTCACAAGTAACTGACTTGTGAAAACACTCCAAGGTGGGGACAGTGTCAAGAATCCTCTGATATCTAAGTGAGAACGTCTGAATATGTAGTACAAAAGTGAGCATAACAGTGAGTAGAGCAAGAGCGAATAAACTAAGGAATCACCAGAATTCATCCATTTTCAATTATTTTAGCTTAAATTTCACTGATGGTCTAAGGGCTCGCAAATACAGTGCAGACAAGTCCACAGAGTGTTGGCTATAACCCCAACCAGGCTATCTTGTGGGCATATTCAGAAAAGATTCAATTATATGTTCTTCCAGGACTGTCCCTTTGCTGTCATCTTCTCTAATGCTGTGAGGATGCTTGTAAGCACAGGCTTTGCTCCTTTGTGGGGATAAGAAAAAGCTGCCCCTCCGAGGAGAATTTAGTACAAGCATGTGGCTCTGTGAAAAGAGCCTGGACTGTTTTAAGCTCTACCTACTCTTGGTCAGTGCCCCAGCTATAAGGCAAAACCTGCACAGCTCAGTTCAGGTGGACTTGGGAAAGCCCGAAAACTGCAGATTCACATGCAAGCAAACATTTCTGGTTTGTGTATCAAGGAGAAAATTCTATCTGGTGTAGCTCAGTTGCACCTTTCTGCTTGATTCAGAGGCACATTGCCTCTCCACCGTCAAAGCAAAGCTAGTGTGTGTGCTCAGTATTTCCGTGGGACCCAGTGTTGGGAAGGTGTCATCACATCACTCAGAGCTGGGTCTGTGAAATTAGGCTCTGTGACCCAGTGACAGTAGACAGTTCAGATAAGGTAAGGAGGACACAGATTGGCAGCCAAACCTACACTTGTTTCAACTATTTTCATCAGTGCGCCACCTATATTAATATATATATGCTGGGATTCCCTCTTAAGATTTTACTCAAACGAGGGTTTCAAGACGAAGTTGTGAAGGAACCTCTGCACTTATCTCACAGGATATTTTCCTAGGACTTGGGATGCATGGTAGATGTAAAATCTTGACTTCTACACATTAGGCAGACTACCTAGTGGCACATTTTAAAGCAATGATTTTCAAAATATACTTTAAACAGTAGGAATTGCTTCAGGGCACCTTCATGGACAATGGAGAGGATGTAGGAAACAGAAGTTTGAAGGTGTGGGCTCCCATACATCACATGTATCACATTTTGAGCAATATTACATACTCAGCTGTCACATGGGGTGTTGTTTTTCTTGAAAACAGTTTGAGGTTTGTGAAAACCTGAGTATACCCCACTCATGAACATATGAAAAAAATCACTTCTAACAGTGAGATAGCCCAACTCTGTATACCATTTTCTCCCTCTGGTCTGTTTCACAAGGAAGCTTTGGTGGTACTAGGAATATGTATAATGTCTGTTAATGATGAATTCAAATGCTTTGTGAGGAGAATGACTTAGGCAAAGAGGACTTACGGTGAAATCGTGCAGCCCGAGGCATACGCATGATGGCCTGTGTAGCGAATGTCACAGCGCACAACATTGTTGGAATAGTCCGATTCAGGCACCAGGTAGCTGGGATTCACACTGACCTAAACACGGAAAGGCCATCTGTTTCAGATTTCATCAGCAGTAGTGTTTACTGATTAAATTCTATTTCCACAGGCTAGAACAGGGAATATCCTTTAATTCAACAAATCAGGGAGAAGGTTTAATCTAGGCAAGTGGCTAAACTGTAGATACGAAGAGGTTGATTTAAAAATAGTTCTAGGAGATATAATTGCTTGCAGGACTACAATTATTCAACATTAGAATACAGAGAAGAAGACCTATTGGGTTTTCTACCTTTAGTATGTAGTTTCCAGGTTGCACATCTGTAATATCAATCCATTGGCAGTCTATGTCTGCATTGTAGGTATCATAACAGCCAGGACTCAACCCCTAAAATAATGAAAATTTAAGAATTTTTATGATAGTATATGGTTACAGTGTGCTACAGAATATGCTGATTATTTGCAAATTAAATCTTAAGCTTTTAAAAAGATATATATATGTACACACACACACATATTGCATCTTCCTAGAGAAATTTTTATTACTCTGCCTTATGGTACCTCCAGCAAAAAGAAATACAGGACTAATATAAGAGTGCATCCAGCTTCTTAGAAGTGTCATAAATCAGTCATGGTAAATACAGTCTTACAAACTAGGACTCCACCAAAGTTGAAGAAAATATCACTCATTCTGGGAGTAGAGGCCAGGTAATAAAAATATGCCCCTGATGTATTTCATTGTGTGTACATAGATTTTTAGTAATTTTCTTTTTCTGTTCTGCATTATAATCATAGTATGTAAAACGTATCTAACTAGAAGTTGTGAGCTCCCTAAGGTAAAGTCTGTGTTTTACTTGAGTAGCTGACAATTAAGAACTATGTGTTAAGTGCCACAGCAATTTTAAACATGCTACAGATATAAATTCAATTCACAACTATGTCAACCAAGTGCTATTATTATCCCCATTTACAGATGGAGGGTACTGAGGCATTGAAAGGTCAAATAATTAATTCACCCAACAATAGCTGTTGAACACATCCAGTCTCATCTGGGATACAGCTAGTAAGTGACTAAGCTGGTTTTGAGTTTAGGCAACTGGGGTCCAAAATCACCATTCTTAACTATTATTAACTCTTTAACTCTTTCTCGTAGTTTTTGAAATATGAACTAGGCCTCATGAATGAATGCCACACACTCCCCTTACTAAAATACTCTTTCCAATAAGTACATGAGTGCCTTTTACAACTTGGGGGGAGGAAGAAAACAACAACAAAGTAATAAGATATGGTCCTTGTTTCCAAAGTTAAAAGTTTGGAGAAATGTGTCACATTGGAATCTACAGGTGTGGATTTCATTAGTTCTTCATGAGAAGTGTTACTATCAGACTTTCATTCTAATTAATTCAATTCAGAAGCGCATGCTAGAATCAATTAATTCATGACTGCCATTTAATTTCGGCACCCAAAATATTTTTGGAATTAAGATTACCTTGTTACAGAGAGATGGCAAAATCATTTGAGTGTGTTCTAACCACAGTTGGTTTGGCTGTAGTTTGATTTGGGAAGAATGACAGACACAATAGCAGTAGTTCACACTCAAAAGTCCCTGTGCCACATAATGCAGCACTTTAGGGGATCTAATTCTGATTTTGTCACATAGCAGATTCACTACATGTTCAAGCCTATCACTGTTGTGATTATTATTGATACTACTAGTACTCCTTCCACACCAACTATGCTCATGACATTGTAAGGGATTTGTTGGATTTGATACCTAGTTGAGATAGGTTTAAATAATGCTGCAATGCTTATCCCACCTACAGTGAACAAAAGTTCTTAAAAGCATACTGAAATTAAACGCATCCTGTGATTACTCAACTGGCAGAATTTAAGAATCAGTTTTAAGTAGTTGAACTAGCAAACAAAATGGTTTTTAAAGCTATTAAGCAAACAAGCGTTTATGTATGTGAAGTAAAAGTATAAAAGTAGATTGAATGTCATATCTTAGCTGAGGATATCTAAATTAGATGTTTGGTTTTAACAAATCATCTGTTACATTGAACTGAGGGGAATAATGTTACTCCAGTTTTGTATATACTTAATACATAAATTTGTTATCTAATGAACTTAAAGAGTTAAATGAAAATATAAATTTATGAACGCTATATCTAATTTTACATTTGGATATATTTAAAAAATATTGTGAGAATTTACTTCCCTTTAAGTGAAATTCATGTTCAAGAAATCTCAATCCAGTGAAAAATACAAACATATAAGTCACTGGTAATACACAAATCTGGTAAATGATGGCTAAGGAGGGCGTAAATGGAAAATGATTATAAAGTGATTACAAAGTGATCACAGGGGAGTTGCAGGTGCTGTCGGTATTTACAGAGCTCGAGGCCATGATTTCTGCAGAGTGAGCTGTCCAACATCCTTGCTCTCACAAAAGCGACTGTACAGGCTGGTGCTGTGGGAGCCAGACATCATTAATGAAAAGGGATTTTCTGTACACACATGTGTAAGGTGTGGGTAGTTTACATTTTCTTTTCCCCAAAGAGTCAGTGCTGCCTTAGGGCCTGCGGAATGAACCCTTTCCTCTTCCAATTGCTATGACAGTCTAAGCTTAGACAGTGAATTAACATTTAGGTCACCAGAGTTTCCTGCCACAGCACTGAGCTTTGCTTCCCTGGATGCCAGCTGTTGGTCCCTTTGTGCCCTTATGTACATTTACTCTTCCTTGCCAAGATTTCGGCTAGGATAAAATTATACTGTCCTTTCACAAATTAGGGTTTCTTATGGAAATGTTGGCATGACTTCTAACTGACACACATTTTCCCATTATAAAACATTCTAAGTGCTTAGTTCAGCACTATTTAAAAAAATCCATCCAAAAGACATCTGACATCAATTATACTGTAGGTTTAAATATATGTGCACGGAGAAAGGAATTGTATCCATCTGCTCTTAGTCGCATTATGAAAAGAAACAGCTTTTTAAAGTGCTTTTTAAGAAACTTAATTTCCTTCCTTTTGCTTCACTTCAGCCACCATCCTATTTTTAGGTTAGAAGAGGGAAGAATGGTTTTGCAGGTGAGAAAACAGAGGTGTCTTTTCCATAGCTACTTACCAAGCCATTTAAAGAATATAGAATGAGGGCAGTTATTGGAAACCATTCAGATTGTTTCAGAGAGCAAACTGCTACCATTTCGTGTGGACCATAACAAGTATGCACTGACCTGCGATGATAAAATACTCTAAAGTCACTTGGGTCATCATGTCTTTTCTCAATTATTTTCAGTAGTCACTTGATGACCCCCCATATAAGTCCATTAAAGAGTTTATAAGAGACAGGCAGGAGGAAATAAAAGTGTAGAAAACTTTGTGTCTCTGAAGGCTTCCGGTTCCTGGCGTCAGGGGGCCACTCACCTGTGTGTGTGCAGTACATGCAAATCGCCTGTGGTAGCCATAATCACAAGACGTGTCCTCAAGACAGAAACTCGCTTTATGGCCTTCAGCCACTCTCCTCTGGGTGCTGGCATCAAGGAGGTCGTAGTGGCTGAATTCATCCATGCTGTGGTAATGTCTAGTGTCCCACACAACAGAGAGACAGCGGTCAGTGACATATACAAAAGGCAGCAAAGATATGAGAGGACATGGCTACCATTTTCACATTAAAAGTGAGAGAAGTTTAGCTTCTCACAGACAGATTCACTATAATTCTTTTCCCCAGGGAAAGAAATCTGTCAAACTTGTAAACTTTCACTTTGCTACCAGGAAAACAAGTTTTTTTGACTATTCCATCTTTCCTTTTTTTTTTTCCTTTTTAATCTCTGAATATAAAAGAGAAACACAGTAAATTATCTGTGTTTAAGTGACACTTGCAATATATTTTTCAGTTTATCTCTCTTGGTCACCACTACTAATGTTTCTTTAAAAAAAAAAGTACAACACATGACTCTGGGAGGGTTTTGTGAGTATTTAAAATCATTATCAAAATGCAAGGGAGAAATAATGGCCTGTTTTATTAGTCATTATTATTTAACTAGTACAAACTTTCATTGAAAAATAAAATAATTCTTTTACTGAAAAGCAGGTACGCATCCCTGTTTTTCTCATTTCATTAAGGAGAATGTATTAAATTGTTTCTCAAATAAAGAAAGAACAAGAAGTGCCTGGAATTGCAGAATTACTTCAAGGGCATACCAGGGTTTCCTGGAAGTAAACCCCAGGTAAAGTCACCAAAGTAGATTATAGAAGGACCTCCTGTGAAATCTTAAAAGTTAGCTCAGAACAGGCAACCATCTGTGTTTTATACAGGTCCTTCAAAAGATAAAGAGTTCCTTCCCAGCTGATAGATTACATTATATTCATCTTAGAGAATGGTAGCTGAAGTCTTTTAATAATTGTCTTTTTTTTTTTAAAGATTTATTTATTTGTGCATACAGAACTGGGGTACAGGCCAGAGACTCAGGGGTGGCGAAAGACTTCACCAGAGACAGAGTGGGGAGCAGAACAGGCAGATCGACAAAGTACACTGCTGAGGGGAGCAGTGGGTGGGTCAGGAGTGGTCTGCCACACCATGTGGTCACCTCTGGGGCAGACGGGAATCGAACTCATGCGGAAGTGGTTTCAGCTTCTTAGTGCAGTGCTTTAACCCGCTGTGCCACCAGGGAAGGCCCGATAATTGTCTTTTTTAAATATCACAACTAACTGTAGAATTGGGTATGGAGTAAAATTGTAGTGAAGCCGGTGACTATATTACCAAGTTTTAATGAGCTGGACTTAAAAGAGTCTCCAGTTAAAAAGAGAACAGCAGCGGGTAGTTGATGTATTTTCTTAAAACCAGACTCCCTTGATTATAGCAAATTAGAAAAATTGTAAGTATAAATGACATAAAAATTTTAAGTATAAATTTTGTCCTTTTGTATGCAAAATAAGACTTTCATTCATCATACCAAGAATCACCTGAAAAATGGAAAAGCAACTCAGAAGTACCTAGGAAGCCCAGCCACTTACTGGTGACAGCTGTGCCATTCCCAGGAATATCTTGGTCGGCTTGGTAAGAAATCTGATGTCCCTTGGTTTTTCACTCTTTGGGGAAATCTTAGCAGGACCCTGTGATCGTAATCTCTGACATCTGCCCTGTATGCTGAGCTGTTGTTTTGAAAAAGAGAAATATTATCATTACAGTATGTTACCTAAAGAAAAAAACTACAAGCAAGTTTTAGAATTACTAGCAAGTTTCCCATAACATAATAATAACTACCCTGTCTCCCCCAGCTAGACTATGTGTTCTGAGAGACTAGGAACTCATGAGTTCCAAGAGACTAGGCCATTTTGCTTTTTTATTCCTCCTTATTGCTGAATGCTCAGTTCTTAGAACAATCCTTGGCAGACAGTCAGAGCTCAGAGAATATTTGTGGAATCAAATGAATGTGACACATGTAGAAATTCAAAATCCACCATTTAAAATTAAGAGCATGATAAAATTAGCACTGGAAATTTACATGTGAAGAGTAAGCTTTGTGTTTATAATCAAGTTTAACCATACAAATGAGAGAAACTGAAGCCCCAGATTTAAAAAAAAAAAAAATCCAGGAACTTTGAATTAAACATTAAATTTATTCGCAAACAATGAACTCAGATATAAAGGGGGGAATAACTCTTGAGAGTACATACACCCAGATTACATAAGTAATTTTGTAACTTCACTATCTTCAAAACAAGGGCATTGCTGTACTAATATCATAGGGGTGTGATGATGTGAGTGATGCAAGACTCAAGAATGAAGACGAGGAGCTGGATTTCTAATCTCCCTTTAGCTTGACAGTTACAAAGGGTCAAAGAGGAAGAAATTAATAACAAACACTCCTGTGTTCCTTCTCATACTTTGTGTGGATGTATCAACATCAAACACTGTAGATGACGTTATTTTACAATTTCAAAAAATGTATGAGACCTAGCAAAACATCATTTGCTCCCCCTAGTGGTTTCCCAGAAGCACACTCTGAAAACTCCGTTCCCAAAATTGCTGATTTTATTTTTGAACCGATGGAAAAACAAAGCACTTGCTCATGCTCTTATTCTGGCTGAAGTAATACCAAAAACAACTAAGTTAAATGTGACTTCAAATGAAAGTACTTAAAATCTTTGCTAATGAGTCGTGCTAAGCCACCAAATTTGCCTCCAATCTTTTAAGGGGGTATTAAAGTTAAGAAATCTTGGGAAAGCACATGAGACACCCACTCTTCAAGGAAGGGATTGCTCTGTCTCCCTAATTTGGGCCTCAGTTTAAAATGCTTTACCCACGAAAATCTTCACAATTTTAACTCTCCATCCAGGTCGGCATGCTCAGGAGATCATGTCTCACTTTCGAACTCTGGGCTGCATCAATAAAGCACAGAACAACACCCTGAAACCCATAGAAGAGCGGGATCACGAGGACCCCAGCCCCTACCTGGCCAAGCAGTTTTCCTCCGCAGCGCACCTCAGGTTGTACATAGACATCTTTTGCACGTACGTGGACGCCTGGATGTAGTAGGGGTCGGGCACCAGGTCCGGGAGACCTACATGTCAGCAGGTGATGGACGTTAGGAGTGAGACAACCCAGATCCATCCACCCTGGCTCTGGATCCTTCTTTGTTCCTTACTTCTATCCCCTAGCCCAACCCGACTGCGGGCGACCATGAGCCAGGGAACGAACAGGACGCCCAGGGCTGCAAAGCAGTGTGGAAAGGAAGCAGCAGGGGAGCAACCGCGCAGTTTGCGTCAGATTCCGCAGCTGCCTCAGCAGCAACTGGGGAAGGGATTTTATCTGCAGGGAAATGGGCCTGCCGCGCCCAGGCAGCCACGTCGAGGAGCCACAGAAGTGGGGAAGGGGTGCAAGGGTGCTTCCGGCGACTTGCGGGTGCTTACCGTACTGGAAGTAGCCGGTGCCGTACCCTGGCCGGTACCTGCTTCCAGGCCTGGGCCTTTCGTATGTGTCGTAGTAGTTGTAATAAGGGTTGTCGTCTGAGTACTTGTAGGGGTTGTATGGGTCGTCGCCCACCATGCCGTCCACGCGGCTGGGCGGCCGCAGGTTGCTCAGCGCCGGGCGCTCTTCCGGCGCCGTGCGGTTACCCGCGCGCGAGGCGCCCCCGTCGCGGGCCCCCGACGAGGAGTAACCAGCCTGGAACCAGTGGCGGGCGGCGGGTCGGGGGCGGCCGGCTGCGGCCCCGGACGAAGAGGCAGCCCGCCCTCGAGCAGCGGCCGTGCGGTTGTTCCGGAGCAGCAGGATCGGCGTGCGGGGCTGCGAGGCGGAGGCGTTTGCGGCGCCTGGAGCGGCGACGCCCGGGTCCCGTCGGCGCTGCGGCTGGTACTGGGAGCCCAGGCTCAGTAGGCTGAACACCTGCCCGTTGTTCTCCCATTGGATCCTCTGGCGCCAGGCGCCCGGAGCCGCCGGCGACTCGCGAGGCGGCTGCTGCTGACCCGCGGCGGGCGGGGCGCAGCGCAGCAGCGCGCAGAGCTGCAGCGGCCCGAGCAGGAGGGCGGTCCAGACGCGCATCGCTCTCTTTGCCCGGCTGTTCCCGCTCCGACGGGGCTTAGCTCGGAAAGAACAAGAACGGGGCTCAAATCGCGTGAGGGGGAGAAATCTTCCAGCGGGGAGGTGGGCGGAGCACGGCTACCAGTCCCAGCCAAGCAGTGCCCAGGGTGGGCTGCAGACCCTTCTCCAGTGAGGAAGGCGGCGACTGGGCATCCGCTTCTCTCCTCTTCCCTAAGTCTAGTAAGACAACGAAGAACACCGCGGCCCCGGCGAGCGGGCAGTGTCTGGAGTGAAGGAAGGAGGAGAGATTTTAAACTTTCTGGCACATTTGCAAAGTTACACAAGCGGTTCTGGCTCAGCCGCCCCTCCGCTATTTGTTCACGTAATGCGATTGGAAACGTGCAAGGCGGACAGCTCCTCGCCTCGGCCCCTCCCTCCCCTCCCGGTCCTGGCCTCCTCCCCGCCAGACACGTTGCAGAGGGAGCGTAGAGAGGAAAGAACAAAAACGGAACTCACATCCTGAGACACACTGGGCTTAATCTGGGGCGAACATGCAGGAATTTCAAAAGACTCAGACAGGCGAAGGCAGCCAGGCCATGGGGCGACGCCAAAATATGCACGAAGAAAAATGCTATTAGGTCACCAGCCCTGGAGAGGCGGGAAGTCGGGGAGGTGGGGTGGGTGCTGGGGGCGAAAGTTAGGAGGGGAGGGAGGGTCATGGAGGGACGATTGTGACTAACATTTATTCTTAAGGAGTTAACCAGACGAGTTTCTCAATGTACACTCACTCGTTTTTATGGGAAGTGCCCTCAGCAAATAAGAGTATCAAATTTTGTTTTTCTGTGTGTAGGTAATATGAGAAATGGGTTACAAATTTGTTTCCTACAGTGAATATTTTAATAACCAAAAGTGAAATTGTAGAGGGACAGAGACTGCTAATACATAAGAGGTGAATAAGCCTGTCTGGTTTTCAAAAGACCGCCCTGCATTGTGCTTGAAGGAAAAGTGAACCATCTCTCCTCTGGACGGGGTCTACCAGGAAGTTTCATTATTGGGGACTGGAAGCAGTCTGGCCGAGAGCGCTCACAGGCAGCTGCAAATAAGCATTTTTATCTGACCTTCTGCTTTCTCTTCTGCATCCTATTAGGAAGTTTGATTTGGGATTTTTACAAAACTTAACTTGACTTCAAGTGTTAAGTTAGTAGCACATCCCATGGTGTTCGCCTGATCTTCTGCATTCAATAAAAATGTTGCTAAGAAGCACCCTTGAAATTCAGATTTTGGTAAAGAGGGGAGTAGGAGTGGCCTGGGAAGAAAGGGCAGGAGGATGTGGGTAGGAGGTAGGTAGTGCTGACTGGAAAGAAAGGTTTAATGGAGCAGTTAATCACATACCACTTGGGGATAGGCAGTGCTGGAAGTATTTCAAAGAAAAATTGGTACTAAATGACCCGTTTTAAAATTGTGATTCAAAACCAGACTCAAAAACTTTTTACCGATCTCATTATTGGGCTGTTGTCTAGATAGATTGCAGTATTTACCTACCTCTTTTAGTCTCTATTTCTCTGTGGTTAAGAACATTTTGGTGGTGTGGTGAGCATCTGCTAATTTGACTGCCTACATCCATTTCTCTCTCTCTCTCTCTCTCTCTCTCTCTCTCTCTCTCTCTCTCTCTCTCTCTCTTTCAGACAAGGGCAATTGTGTTTTCCTTTGGGGATTTTCTTCTATCCAATTGCATAATGAGAATAATTGAGCATATGAGACTTCCCCACATCTAACAGGGGTCATGAAATCCACACTGGGCTAACCAAACTGTCTCTAGAATTAACATCTTGAGCAAAGGACACCAGGGTTAAAATGTAGGCACCCACTCACCTCATGATTGAACAAAGTATCTCTGAGTTCATGATACACCGACACTTTCTAAACTGCTTTTAGACAACACCTACCTTTGTTTTACAAATATTTCTTGTACACATAGGCACTCTATAATGTACTGTCATGTTGAATGTCAACCATTTTACTTACTGTCAAAATTGACAGCTCAAAGAGGTTCATCATTTTTTTTTTCAAATGTCCTTTAAGAGACTTAAAAGAGTCTTAGAGTAAAAATAATTAACTAGAACAATAATTGCGTGCAGTATTTATTGTCTTTTATTAAACACTACCAATGGGGAACCCCATTATTTTTTGTTACCATTCTAGTGTGACCCTTTGAGTGGTTTTCTTTCTCTAGATTCTCTCCAGATTATGACTCAGTCAATTGAAAACAAACATGTGGCTGTTACTGGGAACAGTGAAAATGTTTGCAAGCCATATAGGAGATATTCTCAAAAAGCATTGCACTCTATTCAGTGACAAAGTTATTACTCACAAAATTGGAGAAACAGTGTTCCTTCCAGTTAAAATTAATATAATGACTTAAGTACCTCAAAATACCATTAGCTTTTTTATTTAGGTGACATCTACAGTTTATCTGCCTTCATCTCAAGATGCTCTTTTTAGGGACAATCCTGCAATATAGGAAAGATCTGGAAAGACACTTTTTGTTTTAGCTTCTTAACTATAGATAGGAAGAATTCAAACTTCCTTGTCTCACACATTGACTAAGACGTAAAAGTTGTCACAAGATTGCATTCCTGATATTTATAAACTTTATTAGTATGTGTTAGATAATTCATACAAATGGAAAATAGACTAATGCTAAAAGAATAAGCCATTTCCACTGAGAGACCAAAAGCAGGTCCCCAATGCCACAGTTCAGGCATTCCAAGTTGGTTACAAGTTCTTTTGTTTGGAGTTTGGAAAATTCATATAGAATCATTTTCTTTGGTTAAGACTAATGCTTATATATGCTTTGTTACCATGTAGTTTGAAAATAGCAGAGAATAAAATAGAGAAAGTGTAAATTTGAGTTGTGTAATGAGAAAATGATTGAGAAAAGAGGGAAACACGATATCCTACACAGGGGACAGATTGAGAGATGAATGAGCATATTTTTAAAAAGTAATTCAGAAAAGGTAACACAAGTAAAATAAAGAATCAGAAATCTTTTTGCTTGGAAAAGGAAAATAGAAGAGAGGAGTAGTTTCGTCCTAAACTTCAACGGTACCTGGCCCCTTGTCTTTTTTCTTGTCTTCTGCCACATACCACTTCCGGATACTCACCCAAATATAAAAAGTAGACAGTTTGTACACACTTGTCTGTGTGACAAGACTGAACTGAAGAGAAAAAAAGGAAATTTGTAAACAGACTGGTTAGAAGAATTCCAGAAATAATGAATTTTAAATATATCTTGTGTGGTAACCCATCCCCTTGGGCTGCCTAGGAATGGAAATGTGGAACTAAGCCCTAGGGAATGAAAAAGCATTTAATTCTGGTGTCTTTAATACATATTTATATGTGATTAAGTAAATAATGTTAGTCACTATAATAAAATGGAAAGATGCGAAGAGGTGAAGTTATGATAGGGGACTGGGAGCTTGAAATTCAATGAAGCAGAGTTCAGAGTAATTTGATTATGTTGACTGCAAAAATAAGGGGTCAGCCAAGTGGAAAAGCTACCTTCAGATTAAGTCCAAATGATTTTATTGGGGCTCACAGACTGTCCAATGACAAGACACAGCTCTTCATATATTTGGGCCATTTTGTTTCTCATTGAGAGAATAAGGAAGGTGTGCCCCCTGGTCTCCCCCCTTGGCTTATCTGCTGCTCCTCAGGTTTACCTAGATTCAGCTTCACTATCCTAGAACCCTAAAATGTTATTTAATTTGGTAACCAGGATGTGATCTGACATGTTAGGGTACAAATCAGAAGGGCATTTATATTTTATATAGACCTTTTACTTTCTTGTCACTGATCACAACCCACCACAGTCGCATCTGATCTTTAACTTAACTCAAGGAACATTGCTGCCTTTGGGGGCCCAGCAGGATGACAAATGATTAGTGCCAGTTATATGAAGGTTTTCCCCCTCTCCTGTGAAATGATAGATCGGGGAAGGATGAGCGGTGTGATGACGTATGTTTGGAATAGCGTTAGCATGAAAGGAAGGTTTTGATGGAGCTCTGAGGTTTGAAGTCAGTTATGAGAATCTTAGTTCTTTTTCTTTCTGTTAGTATGGGAATACAACTCACTTTACCATCTTTACTGCCTCTTGATTATGACACCTTCAAGATTATGCCATCTTAATTTTTTTTATTTAATGTCTTGTAATGCTGAGTCTTTAAAACAGCTCCACTTGGCTATCGTAAATAAATTTTTATAAACAAGGATTCCTTTGAACGCTACCTATTTTCTTATGTTTCGACTATTTCATGAATCAGAGCCAGCTCTTCCAGAAGATAGCAGATAAAAACAGAAAATCTAAAGTTTATAAAGTCTGTAGAAATTCTGTCTCTGTAGGTCACATAGTTTGACCCTTTTCTGCCCTCCTTATGGGAACAAGAAAGCCTTTTCTGCCACTGATATATCTTTCATGCTTTATTCTTAGTTGTCTCTATAAATTTTTACAAATAATTAATGCAAGGACCTGTGACACAGTGACACTGGAAAATATTAACCAAATGTTAATATTAAAATAGAAATGAAAATCTTAAATAAATATACAAACTCAGCATAACCTGTGGCTAAGGACTCCCCAATCCCAAGTGAGTTGAACACATACATCCCTTTTAAGCTTGCTAAATGGATTCCAAGGAGAGGAAGGAAATCATGTGGAAATAAGTAATAAGAAGAAAAATAAACAATGTAATCTCCCTTTCTAAAAGACAATACCTATCCTCTCATTAATAACACTCATTTCTGTTTCTTGTCATTACAGTGTTTCTGGTACGATGTGTAATACTTAAATACATTACCTCATTTTATCCCCATAACAACCCTGTGAAGTTAGCTATACTTTGATTTTATGGACAAGAAACTGAAGCCTACATAGATTAAGCAACATGCTTAGCTAAAGCTTGGCAGTTAGATCTTGAACCCACATTTATCCTCTTATAAATACCATAGTAAACTCTTGCCATGCAAAGTAGAGAGAGAGCATGTAATTTCATTTTTTCTTTGTTTTAATTATTGGAAAATTAAGCTGAGGGCCTCATTAAAGCTTGCATGACTCAAAGATTGTGGCCAGCCAAAGAGCAGGCTAACAATGACTATTTACCTAGCACCTGTAGGTAAATGACTTTGGATTAAATGTGACATACAAGTTAAGTGGAAGTTAACAAGTAATAGAAAGAACAAAGGTGATGGTGAGAGACAGTTGCTGGATAGCTGTTACCTCTCCTGTTTACTAACAGAAAGTTCTTGGCATGTTACTTAAGTATTCTGAGACTCAGGGTTCTCAACCAAAAATAAAC